AAGTTCCGTCCCGTTCCTAAAAAGGGCGACTGGGACCTGACCCGAATTCGTGAGAGTGAATACTTCTTCTCGTGAAGCTCTCGTCTCTGGGAATTGCCGCATTCCGCTGGCGTTTATGCATACTTTCACATTTTTGTTTAGCCGTGTCCGGAGTGCTGTGGAGGAGTGATACTTGGATTCACTTTAGTGACTTCTAATTTCGTGTATATTTTCTGCCCGATTTATTTTCTGGGCTTCATTGGTTGCACCTGTACATTACACATGGGGGATAAAACAGTATATACTACCTGTATGAATATGATATCAAACTAGCATAAATACCCGTGGCCACCTAGGCACTCTCTACTTTTGACTCATCAAAACTCTATACCTCCAGGGCTACATATGTGCATATGTAGGCATTGTCTGACCAATCCCAGCTTTAAGCCAAATACCCGGAGAACTCCAAATGCGAATTTAGGCAAAATGCAAAAGCCAAAAACGCAGAGAGTAGCCTAGCACCGCGGACCTAGCCATTTCGGAACGTCTGCAGCTCCCTATAGAACAAATGTACAGTATATAATTGCCGACCTCCCGAAGCCATTGGTCAAGTTCACACATCATTTAGCATCATGTATACCCTGGACCGTGGACCCTGTCGACCCGGCACTTGCGAATGGCCAAGTCCGCATAAGTATTATATCCGGAGCCCCTGTATGTACTCCGTACCTTGTGCTTTGTCCTTCCCCGGTGCCAAGACCGGGGTATGTGACCGTGGCCAGATGAGGGGTTCAGGTCCGAAATTTTATGCAGTCTCGCGAAATATTACATATGCTGATTCGGATCCCTGGACAGGAACACTTTGTTGTAGTGGATGACTAGGACGTTGATCGCGATGAAATGTGGGGAATACGGACGTAAGCGAAGGAAGAAAAGGGGTCTGCACTTTTAGTTCAGTTTTAGTTGAAACAGAAGGCGTCTCAAGGGAGTAGAAACAGGTTCAAATCTGGATATAAGTGTATTTAGTGTTTAATTGATTTAGAGTGAAGAGAGAGAATACTACTTTCCATGCACTCCCCATATACCAGTGACACCGCACTCATTTCCATTTCACCGAACCACGTGCCGTTGCCCCCGCCTTTACACAATTTCCCCAGATCTTCTAATCTTCTGATCTTCTGATCTTCATATTCCTGATCTTCGCATTTCTCATCGTTTTTTGATATTCTGTGTTTTGAATTTGGCTTTCTAACCTGTGCGAGAACTAAGCTTTGGGCTGTGCCGAGTGGATAAAAAAAGCCCCGAGGTCGCCCCGTTCTCTCTGCATTCTGCAATGCCGTTGTGACTCCTCGGCCACCCTATAGCCTACATTTGACTCAATCCTTTGATTCTGGTAGACTAGAGAGTCTAGATCGACTTAATCTGTCCCTCTATGTCGCCATAGCCCTGTTTCCGCCTCCTCGGAGAAGCATGTCGATGACCTCCCTCTCCTCTTCCAATTCTTACTCTCCCTTTTCGTCTCAAGCCGGACATATGACACAATCCCAAACCCCCGGGCTGGACACGCTTGCCGAGGGGTCACAGTATGCGCTGGAACAGCTCCAGTTAGCACGTGAAGCCGATGCTGCTACCGTCCCAACAAATCCCGGCAACTCTCTCGACTCGAAGACACCGCAACATTCCCAGCATCTTCTGTACAACGAACAAAAGGGTCCCAGTTCGGGTCTCAAGGATCCAGAATTGCGCAATTCCCTTGCTGAGGCGCGCTCCGCAATCCGCAAAAGCTCATCCGCAACCCCAGCCCGTCGGAGAATTAGCCGGGCCTGCGATCAGTGTAACCAATTGCGAACCAAGTGTGATGGACATAACCCCTGTGCGCATTGTGTTGGTACGAATTTTTTTCCCCCAAGGGACCCTCTCCATTTGCGCATTGGTTGAACTAACAATGCCCAGAGTTCGGACTCAGCTGTGAGTACGCCCGCGAGCGCAAGAAGCGTGGGAAAGCGTCGAAAAAGGATATGGCTGCCACTGGAATTACCGACAGTGATATGGGTGGCAAAGAAAACACAACGTATGCCAAAGGACAACCCTCAAACGGACAATCTTTGCGCGAACCTAACGAACATTACGATCGCGCCTTTGACGCCGCGCGGACTCTTACTGAACGCGCACAATCTCGGTCGCATAATGCAGAGGTGGCCGGCTTATCTGCCATGCGGCAAAGTCAAGCGCCCATACAAGCACCTTCTCAGCAGCAGATGAATCCCAACATCGCGAGCATCTCATTCAATAATTACACAGCGCTCCAAGAATCCCATCGACCCTCGATGTCCGTGCCAGATATGCGCTCTATACAGATGATGCAAAACTCGAACGGGAACCCTCGGTCGCCGGGTTCAATGCTTCATCCTCAAGGGTTCGGTTCAGGATATAATGATGGCGCATACCCTTTGATGAATGCGCAAGACGCGAATCCGGGTTCCATGAACCACTTCCGCATTGGGAACTCGACGGAGAACCCATCGGCCTCTTTTATGGGATTCTCTCCTCCAGCGCAGTCGCCTAGCTGGTTACCACTCCCTTCCCCATCACCCGCGAACTTCCCTTCCTTCAGCATGCCCCCTTTCTCCAGCTCATTAAGATACCCGGTCTTGCAACCAGTCCTTTCACACATTATTTCTATAATCCCTCAATCTCTCGCCTGCGATCTCCTTGACGTCTATTTCACCAGCTCATCGTCCTCGCATCTTTCTCCGTCATCACCCTACGTGGTTGGCTATGTCTTCCGCAAGCAATCTTTCCTACACCCCACAAAGCCGCGAGCGTGCACCCCTGGGCTTCTCGCCAGCATGCTGTGGGTCGGAGCCCAAACAAGCGAGGCTGCATTTTTGACATCACCCCCCTCAGCTCGAGGCCGAGTCTGCCAGAAGCTTCTGGAGTTGACGATTGGCTTACTCCGGCCACTTATCCATGGTCCCGCCACTGGAGAAGCATCTCCCAACTACCCAGCTAATATGGTGAATAACGGGGTGGCTCTTGGCGGCTTTGGTGTCTCCATGGACCAATTGGGTGCTCAGAGTAGTGCGACTGGCGCGGTGGATGACGTCGCTACGTATGTTCACTTAGCGACTGTCGTCTCTGCCAGCGAATACAAGGCTGCCAGTATGCGATGGTGGACAGCTGCCTGGTCCCTCGCAAGAGAGCTGAAACTAGGCCGCGAATTACCCCCTAATGCGACGACCCGTCAAGACGGCGAAATGGAGGGCGATGGGGACATTGATGTGAATGGCAACAAGAGGCAACCGTCTTCTTTACTGGGCCACGGCCCAGGCAACTCTGCGGTTAATCTCACAGAGGAAGAACGCGAGGAGCGCCGGCGAATTTGGTGGCTGTTATATGCGACAGATCGCCATCTGGCACTTTGTTACAACCGACCCTTGACATTGCTGGATAAAGAGTGCGAGGGATTGTTACAGCCGATGAACGATGATATCTGGCAGGCGGGCGACTTTTCATCTGTCAACTACCGCCGTGCCGGCCCATCTTCTGAATGCACTGGCCATAGCATGTTTGGATATTTCTTACCCCTGATGTCTATCCTGGGCGAGATTGTGGATCTGCAACATGCCCGCAATCACCCGCGCTTCGGTCTCCATTTCCGCAACAGCGGTGAGTGGGAAAGTCAGGCCATGGAAATCACCCGGCAGCTCGATGCCTACGCCCAGAGCCTGAAAGAATTCGAGGCTCGATATACCAGCTCTATCGCCCTCGGAACCGGTGAGGCTGACACGGCCATGGAAGGTTCCAACGTCAACCACGTCAGCCCGTCTGGTCGATCTAGTAGCACGGTAGGGTCGCACGTCAGCGAGTCCATCGTTCACACGAGGATGGTGGTCGCCTATGGCACCCACATTATGCATGTGCTCCACATTCTGCTGGCTGGGAAGTGGGACCCGATCAACTTGCTCGACGATAACGATCTCTGGATCTCTTCTGAGTCGTTTATCACTGCCATGGGCCATGCAGTCAGCTCTGCTGAGGCGGCCTCAGACATTTTGGAATACGACCCAGATCTAAGTTTCATGCCCTTCTTCTTTGGCATATATCTTTTGCAAGGTAGCTTCTTGCTACTCTTGACTGCGGATAAATTGCAAGGAGATGCCAGTCCTAGTGTTGTTCGGGCCTGTGAAACAATCGTGCGAGCGCATGAGGCTTGCGTTGTGACTTTGAACACTGAATATCAGGTACGATTTACCCGTGACCAAGGCTTGGAATTAAAGAAGCTAATCTCCTGTAGCGAACGTTCCGAAAAGTGATGCGCTCGGCGTTGGCTCAAGTCCGCGGCCGCGTACCAGAAGACTTCGGCGAGCAGCAGTCACGCAGGCGCGAAGTGTTAGGCCTTTACCGCTGGAGCGGCGACGGCAGCGGCCTCGCGCTTTAGCAAGACTGTCGAGTATATGCCGAGCCTGGTGCGGCTGCGCTCATCGTCTTGCCTTTGGAATTATTACCGTTTTCCCTTTGTTTCTGATTTTCATTCGATTTGCGCCCTGTATACTATACTTCCTGGATTCTGGACATACCCCGAGGAGCGAAAAGGCGCACAATCTCTTGGTGTCTATGTATTGAGTCGGCACATACCATACGTACTTAAATGTTGATTTTGATTGATTTTGGAACATCCTTCAGGTAGGACGTTTTCGCTTTTTAATTATTCCCTCTGAAGGAACCTAGTTCCATATTAAGATATCAGAAAGAGGTCGCTCAACGGTTCATCCAACTCCAACAGACGCCAATGCCCATAATATTCGGCCGTAAGACTTCATGGCTTCTGTTTTATACATATGTAGTAATTTTTATTCTTTTTTTGCTGTTCTTCAGTTGTATAAAAGTAGAAATTTGTATCATGTGATGATGCTTATTTCGGACTCCACCCAAGCTCCGATCCTCTTCAGCTACACCTCTTCAACCTCAACCACCATCTATCCCAACAAGACGGTGTATGAGATCACGAGACCATCAAAATGAAACCCTATATAGGCATACCTCTTGTGTTTGGGCTTGTCTATAGAGCTTGGTCGCGCAAATCCCTTACCCCGCTCGGCCTGGTTGTTGCGGGATGTTCAGCCTCCGCACACGCCCTCCATCCATGGTCGGCACCAGTCGCGCTCCTTGCGGTATTCTATTTTGGCGGGACTAAGGTTACAAAGGTAATGAGCCACCTATATGTGGAGAGAAGCCGCATACTATCCACTTTTCAACCTATACCTATGTTATGGGCGCAGCTTACAAGATCGCGATGACAGGTAAAACATGAGATCAAGTCGCGTTTGACACTCTCTGCAACCGGTGCGGAAGGCGGCGAAGGTGCCAGGAACCATATCCAAGTCCTAGCGAACTCCGTTGTCGCTACCATATTATCGATCGCTCATGCAATGGTCCTGGCCAGAACAACAGACACTGAATCGTGTTTCTCACTCGGTCAAAATGCGGCTGATATCTTGATGGTCGGGATTGTAGCGTATGTCACTCAAGTCCACATTCCATATCTCCACTGTCTGTTCTAGAGCATATAACTAATTGGTTTGTCTTCGCAGAAACTACGCTGCTGTCGCTGCAGACACCTTCTCCTCCGAGCTCGGCATTCTCTCGAAATCTAAACCCCGCCTGATTACCTCGTTGAATCTCCGTGAAGTCCCTCCCGGTACAAATGGTGGTGTTACTGCGACTGGCCTTGGGGCTGGTCTTCTGGGATCATTCATTGTTTCCGCGACATCTGCTGCAGTTCTTCCGTTCTGTGCAAGTGCTAGATTGAAGGATCGGGCTTTGTGGACCATAGCTATGACTATTTGGGGTGCATTGGGCAGTGTCCTTGACAGCGTTCTTGGTGGGCTTTTGCAGGCCAGTGTTGTTGATAAGAGAAGCGGGAAGGTTGTAGAGGGGAGTGGTGGCAGGAAAGTGAGTTCACGATTATGTATCATTAACCAGTGTGTACAGAGCTCTAATCCAGTTTCTAGGTCCTAATTCACCCTTCCACAGGCAAACCGGTTATTCCTGCTGATAGCACTGCCAAAGCAACCGGCAGCATACATAACGCTGCAATCCATGGCACCCAGGTGACAAAGATCGTTGATGAAAGTCAGGAGAGTCGTCGTCTTGAAACTGGTCGTGACTGGTTGGATAACAATGGCGTCAATCTCCTCATGGCTGCGACTATGAGTGTCGGGGCTATGGGTATTGCACAGTGGTTCTGGGGGTTGGATGTCTTTGAGTTGCTGGTATAGATTTTACAGATACTGTTTAGTCTGGTAGCATCTCGAACTAATCCAAGTCTCGAACATGCTTTATCTGGTTCCTGGTTATGTTCCTGGTTTAGATCACAATCATGATGAATACATGTCCTTATCTCTCTTGCTCTTTTGAATGTGTCTGTTTTGAGGAGCGTGGTCTTAGCTTTTTGTTTGTCCCAGCTGTTTCCAACTTATCACCTTCCCCCCTTTCTTCTTCGATAAATTTCTTCCTTTCCCGCTTCTCTCTTCTTCTCTCGGTGTTTCCTTCGCATCTCAACAACAACACCGGCCTACTCAGGTAAAGCCAACGCGACCTTGGCTCAACCACGATTCATCACGTGTCACCGTTGGCCCTAGTTCGTGAGTCCCTGCTACGTATCACACCTGCCGAGCATCGCTGGGCTCTCCATCTCGGATTCCAGGAACTGACAAGTGACAAGCTTAGCATAATTTGGACGAACAGGGTACGCCTGCCAAGATGGCAACTGAAGAAGAACGCGAAATGCACGTGCGAGTGGCGGAGCCAAGTGTCTCTTTCCTACCCGAGACCGAAACATCCAAGACCGTAACATATGACCTCCATCACAGTGACTTGCTTCCTGTGTATGACTACGTATCCCGGGAATATCTGATGACGGGCGTTGCCGTTGCCAATTCGTACTGCACACGTCTTCTTCTTCGTTGCCCTGCTGACCCTCACAAATTTTCCGGTCTTGTCATCACGGAACCATCTCACCTATGGGGTGGAACAACCATCTGGCGTCTCATTAATCGGTGGCTGATGCGTAACGGTGAGTTATTCATTCTATCTTGACTTGTTTTCTGGGCTAATAGTCGAAAGGACATGCCTGGCTGGAAGTTGATTCGCAGGCTCCCGCCGCAATTGACCAGATCAAGAACGTTGATCCCGAACGCTACAAAGATATGCACTTCATCCCTTGTCGGACCCTGGAGGAGTTTTCCAGCAACATCCCCTCCTTTGCTAACGCAGAAGAGCTGTGGGATAATTACAGGATCTTCAAGGAAAGATGGTGGGCCGCAACTCTGCAGTCTCCGGAGATACTCGTTGCTGCATCACATGCTTTGAGATCGGGACAGCTGGGTATCGAGGCTGAGCGCGTTGTACTGGCTGGTCTTTCCCAGACTGCAGACTTGATAAGAAAGTTCATTGTCGAGTCTCGTCATTTCCGACTTCCTGATGGATGTGCTCCATTTCAGGGATTCATGCCATGCCAATGCGATGCCGGCAACCCACTTCCAGACTTGCGTGATGCAAAGATTATTGAGATTTTAGGTGAATTCGAGCTCATCTACATCAAGGCACTCTACGGCGGGAGTGAAACGCCTCCCCATCGCCGACCTGATAGCAGCTCATTCCGGCTCTATGAAGTTGCCGGTATGTCTCATCGCGAGACTCGATACCTCTCCATGGCCGATAAGAAGCGTTTGTCGGTTGTTGATCTGGAAGGTGCCCAATGGAGCACTTTCGCCAATTCTTTCGTTTACCATGCTCTCTTCGATGCTATGAACAGCTGGATTACAACCGGTGTTGCTCCTCCGCGAGGTACCACAATTGATGTTGACGAATTCGGGGAGATCGAGCGAGATGAGTATGGAAATGCGCTTGCTGGAGTCAGAACTGTTCATACAGACGTGCCTACTGCCAAAATTATTGATGTTACCCCTCAGCCACATCCACATTGGCACACTGGTAAGTTTCTCATGTCCACGAGAGTTCATTTTAATTGTTCTGACCTCGTTATTATTAAAAGGCACCGAAGTCCCTTTCAAAGATGTCAAGCTGTGGGCTGTCTACAAAACGGTAGAAAACTATCGACGTCAGGCGGGAGAAGCCATCGATCGCCAGGTTGAAGCCGGATTTTTGTTGCCGGAAGACGCTGAGGTCCTGCGTCGCGATACTATTGAGCAAGTCTCCTTTTAAATTTGTCAGACTACGGTATTGCTTGTTTCTCGTCCTAGACTTGGGGTATTGCCTGGATCTTGGGGGCCTGAAGTTTCTTAGGAACAGACAGTTGTGGTGGCCTACAAGGCGTACGTATCTCGGGATGCTCTTGGTTATGTTGGATTAGATTTGAGATCAACCCGGCTCTTCTGCGATTCCAATGTCTTTGACGAAGACCGCTTGATTATCTAGTCTCATGCCAATGTACTTTAGTTCTGCAATTTACCAATAATAACCACATCATTTTTCACTCATGATTTGATCCTATCATCTGTCTATCTGGGCTGCCACCGCTTCTATTCGCTCAGGTTCGGGATCACGGAGTGGACGTCAGCATGGGCTTGGGAGTGGTATGAGAAATATCTAAATTTGAGCAAATTTATAAGCCTAAATACCTAAACTCCAATCTAGAAAATACCCTAAGTTCTGGGTAGTACGGAGTACAAGTTTCAGCAATATGAAATAGGTGCAATACACATTCATGGATGCAATGAGCAATGACAGCCAATGACTGCATTGTATCAGCCCTCTGCATTAGCAGACAAATCTTCGATGGCAAAAATTGGGACAAAATCCTCTGCAAAGTTACAAAAATAGACCTCCCAACCCATAGTGAAATAGTCTACAGCCGCGATTAGCAAAGACGATCCCTAATTTCCCACCTGGCATACCTACCCAACGGAAAATATGCACTAAGGCTGTCCATGTCCAATCCCTTGCTCCATTGCCCCCGGTGTTTTGGCATATGCCGGGGCTGGTTGCTGGACTGGGGGGTACGGCACCCATTGCTGTATAGGGGGTGGCTGGAAAGATTGCTCCAGTTCCTTTTCTTTCTTTTTGCGATCACGACGCATCTTGATGAGAAGGACAATAACGACAGTGATGACAACGAGGACAACAATTGGGATGAGGATTGCTTTGAGCAGAAGTTTTAAAAGACCCATGATGAGAAGGACTGGTGTATAGGAATAGGCGGCAGAGACCGGTATCACATAAAAGATGGCTACAATGAGAATATATTGTAGACAGGTACCTGAGGGGAAAGGATACACCTTGGATGGGTGAATTGAGGGAACTTTTATACCCCGGTCTGCTCAACGCCCTGGCTCTGTGTGACTAGGCCATGTCGTATCAACGGGGGATGGGCGCAATCTACATAACATAGGGCATGGCGCAGCGCTAAATGATGATATTTGGTTGGTGACCAGCCTGTGAGTGTGCTAATCTTGATATGGAATCACAAGGCCGGTCACTATTTTTCCTAATAAAGACAGACTTTTAGTCTACATTAGGCGCTGCAACTGTGATTGATCTTACATGACCAAAGCTTGGGCATTTCTTCCAAGGCCTTGTTACGTCGCGTCGCTCTACAGTGGATCTGAGAAAGAAAGACGGGGAATTGAGACGGAATTCTGCTGCCTGATCGTTTCCCCGTGGCCGGTTAGCCGGTAATAAACTGCATATGTATATTATGAATAATGATTCCTTTACTTACGTATATGTGATGCTCAAGTTAGGGTTCTATCCTTTGGACGAACACTGAAGGAGTTTGAGGCAGTCGAACTTGACAATCCCCTTCAGTGTTCATGAGAGCATCATAGAAGAGTTAATTGGCTTGATCCAAAGGATTTAATTAAAATTGGTGCCTTGATCTCGTCTCAGCGCCAAGTCTCAGCCCTACGAGGCGACTCCACCGTTGATGGCGATCATTGCCTTTGGTCCCAAATATAGTACTGCTTCTACGGATGATCTTCAAGTGCTCGCTAGAAACTAGATTTCGTATGTTGTCCAAGTTTGATGTATCTAAGGAATAATTAATCGTAACCACCCTGCAGAATCCTAAACAAAGGGTGCATCGACTGCGTCTGGGTGCACGTAGAATGCAATTGCGATTATCAGATACCTAAGAGAAGTCATTAGTACCGAAGGCAGAACACTCTTGTGGCCACTCACGTTCCAACCAATAAGGACCCTTCGTAGTAATTGGATCGACCTCCTCGAATTAAGCAGTCCATGACTATTACCGATAGGAAGAATACCACAGTTTCGAAGGGACTATAGCGCAAGGACATGGGCTGCCCAATAACCCAGCCACACATGACCAGGAAAGGACTCACAAACAACGCGATTTGCAACGTGCTTCCCACAATCACACCAATCGCGAGGTCCATGTTCCCCTTGATCGAAGAATTGATGACAGTATTGAATTCTCCTGCATTACCGACAATGGGAACCACAATCAAGCCAATAAAAGCCCGGCTCACATGCCACTTGTCTACAAAGCCATCGACGCTGTCCACCAGGCGATCGGAGCATACTGTGACTCCGAGAGTTGCAAGGATCAAAATGATGCTTGCCGACCAGGGGCCCAGAACTCGCTCTTCTTCCTCTTCTTGTTTATCGTCGACAAACAGCTCGGAGTGACTCCTCAGTTGGAAGTAGAGGTAGACCAGGTAGAATGCGAGTAGGACCACTGAGGCTGCGCGGGAGAGACTCAGGACGCTGGCTTCCACTTCGTGGGACTTGGATGGTATGGTTGAATCGAGCACGGATGGAACGATCAATGTCGCAGAGGAGACCACCATCAAGGATGACAGTATCCCACTAACATCCACATTGCATTTCACCACATCCTTTGCATAGCCGCCGCAGAACAATGAAACACCGAGGATCTAAATTTCGCATAAGTAGACAAGATCACCTACGCAGTGAACATGCACTAAGAACGAAACCTACCAGGAGGTTGCCCGACAGGATGCTGCCCACCATACTCGACTGCACAATACTGATTTCCCCTTGCCGCACCGCAGTGATCCCAACCTGTGCAGTGACCAACATTAGTCTCCCACCTTAGCAGAGGGCCAAACGTCCAGTCCCTTACAATCATTTCAACTGCATTTCCAAAAGTGGCATTGACCAGCCCTCCGACGGTTTGCCCGACACTTTTCGCCAATTCCTCTGTGGCGAACGACAGCAACGCAGCGAGAGGAAGAATCGCCAGGAAGTTGAACACGAAGGAAATCGAGTCATCCCATCCTAGACTCCCTGCAATTATGCCCAGAAGCACAAATGGCAGTAGAAAATTGGAGTAGCTGCATCCTAGGGTAATCTTAAGCACACGTACGACACGGTTGCCTAGGAACAATGCGCGCTTCGAGTCAGGGTAGTTTGTGTCACGCAACTCTGCAGATTCCTCCGTGTTTCTTTCGCGTTCAATCTCGTCTCTGAGTAATGCATCCTGCTCATGGGCTGTCGTGTTCGCTTCGAGCGACCCGGCCATAATTTCAGGGTCAATCTTGGTTGGCTTTCGCAGTCGAGGGTGAGCTGTGTTATTCATGTTTGTCAAAAGAGTGAGGAAAGGGATCGAGAAACATTGGGGTCGAGCTTGGGAGGGTCAAGGGGATGATGTATTACTCCACTGTCTTTCAGTCCTAGGCATCTGCGTACGCATTAGTGTAACTGGTGGATTGCGTGGACTTAAAAGAGCCGTGCAGATAAAATACCTGTATGTTTTGGTCAATTACAGTTAAATTACATATGTGACGGTATGTATCTGTATGCAAACATAACTGTCATACAGCGAGCCTCATTTATTGACCTGTGTGGACTTTCTAAAGACGGGTGAATCCTCCCAGCTTCACCTTTTTCCTCGATGAATCACGTATCCCGATCGAGGTTCGTCTAAGCTATATTGCAATTCCATCATGGCACGGGTCCAGCACCACCTGGGCGTCTTGTCCCTCTTGATACCTCTCATCGGTATCACAGCAGGAGCCCTGGAGTGGAACAGTGCTGCCATCTTCGCTCTCAACATTGTCGCTATGATTCCGCTTGGATCATGGATTAACCGATCGGTCGATTCGCTGACCGTAGATCGCAGCCGAGTTGTTAATGAAGTGCTGAAATCGACACTAGGAAATTCGGTGGAATTATTGGTGATATCCAGCCATGGAGGGACTCAATATTTGATTCAAACATAGGCTGACCATTTATCTAGATCGGAATCAATGCGATCGCACAAAAGCGACCACACATCTCCCAGTCCGTGATACTTGGAAGTGTCCTAAGCAATTTACTGCTGGTAAGTCCCAGTATTAAATCCAACCATGTGCTATGAACCTCCTCCTAATACAAACTACACCTAAAGGTCCTCGGTGGCACCATTTTTGTCTCAGGTTATGACCAAAAGCGACTCCGGTTTGATCGCACCCTCACAACAGTCCTCTCATCCCTCATGATGGTCGTCTTCATCCTCCTCGCCCTCCCCACCATAATGGACGTCTTCCCGTCCGCCAAGGTCACCCCGGAAGACAAGATCCTCTTGACACAACGCGTAACGGCCATTATCCTTGTCGTTCTACTGCTCACGTTCCTTATTTTCCGCCTTGGCACCCATGCGGCCATGTTCGCCAGCACGCCGTTCAGCCAGCGGGATCAAACCCGCTGCGACCATCAGTCTCGCCAGAGCCAAACAATCGAGGCCCAAATTCCGCGGCCATATATCGGCAAGGGTCCAGCAGCTATAATCCTTGCAACTGCGTGCGCTTCTGCGCTCGCGTGCACTTATTACACAGTCAGCAGTATGAGCGGGGTTGCTTCGATCACGGGTATGAACCAAGCTTTCCTTGCCGTGACGCTTGTTCCTCTGCTCGGGAACTCGGTCAAGTACCGGTCCATTGTGGTGGGGTCCCGGTCTTACAATCAGATTGAGCTTGGGATCAGGGCGGTTATTAACAATGTGTTGCGGGTCACGATGCTTATTGCTCCGCTGCTGGTTCTCCTTGGTTGGGCTTTTGACCAGCCGCTTATTCTTAGATTTGATGGGTTTGAGGCTACGACTCTTTTGCTTGGTGTTGTAGTTATGACTTATCTTATTTCTGATGGGCGGAGTAATTACTTCGAGGGATTGATGTTGATTGGAACGTGAGTCGCTCGCACTGCTTTGTTGGGCCTATTGTTCGTCGTACTAACTTTGCTTTCTCTTAATAGATACATGATCATTGCGTTCTCATTCTTTGTTCGGCCTGAGGTGCCGACGAATGTGATTTACCTAGGTGTTTAGATTCGTCCAGCCCCGGTATATCACATCACTCGTTTACGGCAGTGTATAGCCGCCAGTGCGCCATATGTATTTTGCCAGCAGAACATTTCATAAAGTACATGAGTTTTTTATTGACTATAGAGATTGATAGAAATTAATAGTGTGGAAAATGACACTATAGAAGTTGATATTGTAGGAATTGAGATATTATAGACAAGAATAGTCGGCTGCTTATGCGGCTTTAGTCTCCTTGGTAGTCTCCTTGGTAGTCTCCTTGGTAGTCTTCTAGGTAGTCTTCTCCGATAGTCTTTTTATATGTCTTTTTAGTGGCCTTTTTTAGTAGTCTCCTTAGGTAACTTTTAGATATCTACCTATGTACTTGATTTCCTCTGCCACTTCCTGGCCTTCCCTTTCCGTTTTAGATGCTCAGGTCGTGCCGCTTTTTGCTCACTGAGTAAAACCAAGCACACCTTTGAGTCTTACATAACCAGTGAAACTGCCCAAGGTGCTCCCTGAGAATCACCTGATCACTGTATAAGCCGGATGGCTCGCCCGGACGCTCACACACTGAGGGTCATCTGAGCATTCTGATTTGCTAATCGAGCGTGACCTGAGCCAGCGGGAGAGCAGCTAAGTCAGCAGCTCACCTCAATAAAATGCACCACGCTAGCCCCACCTAATGCAGACTTTCAACAACGCTGTCCCTCAACAAAAGGCTGGCGTCATCAATATAGCGGTCGATCCTAGTCGTTTCACCTCAAGCTGGGGAGTAAATGCAACAGTGGGCCACATGTATTGGCTTTATGTATTGGCTTTACTATTCTGTGGCTATGCCACTATTCAACTCGCCGAGTCTCGCCTCCACGATACCGTCTAAGCTTTGGCACAACCCGTAAAAATGTAACGGGTTGCACCCATATTGAGGCCCGGGCCCCGGCCCGTGCAGACGTCGCACCTAATTCTGATCCCCGTCGAGAGTTGACGGCCTTCAGATATTGCCGCCAAGGGCTGAAAGAGGTTAGGCCGCTTCTGGTCGATCTTGATGATGATTCGCCGATCGCTTCTTCGGCTGAAAAATCGCTCGTCGCAAGGCCCTTACAGCCTTATGGATCCGTACGACTATATTGGGCTTTACTACCCACGATCTAGCCTACCCGAAGTAGAGGAACTGAAGAGGAAATTTTGACAGATTCTTGATCGATTTCTTGATAAAACTTGATGCATGAGAAAGGGAGAAAATCCCCTTCAGGAGTCGGCTAGAAATAAGGGGCAAATTCTACACAGACCATCTCAAAAGCAGCAAGCGGTGAACAAGGGCAGAAACTCCCCTGTTAAGGGCATGTGGCTTCACCGCCTAAGATGGCTGTGCCACTACCTGGGCACCTTAGTCATAGTTTAGTCAGCCAGCTATTTCCTTACCGAACTAGCTGCCAGAACTGATCATTACCATTCTGAGATTCTGTCACTCTTACATAAGAGCACCCAACAATCATATTATAAAGTATTTTGGAGCAGAAACTTGAAACTTGTAGCAATAACATTGATTTTATTGAAGTCAAATACGCACTCAAAGCTCTCTCTCGTCCCTCGACATTAAACGGTAAAAGATATGAAAAAAGGGTGCTGGCTTAGACTACTCACTCGATCGACGAAAGAACACGTCGCTTATACTCGTGTTCTATTGATCCTCGGTTCCCGGCCGGTAGGGTATTGAATGGGATGGTACTGTTTGGTACTTGGCCGCTGAGAATTGTCGAATCCCTGATCTCCGGAGGGAGAATGAACCCTGCTTTGACTAGAGTGTGGCATCTGGTATTCGTGTTCCCAGTCACATCGGCAAGGAGACAGGACTGCTGGAAGTTCTGAAACACTACTGCCAGGGCGGTCGTATCCGATGGGCGGCCTAAACAGAGGGGCGCCCCCGAAGTTCCATCCGCTGGGTCGAGCTGACCATCTGTATGCCACAGCAAAAACGCGTTGCATAACTTTCGGGTTTTGTCCCAGGAGTAACCTGTCCCAACCACGGATACCCTGGGGAACAGGCGCGAGTCGATGACACCATGAAACTTCCGCAGACCCCCACTGTTCGTGTTTTGAGCAGCGACATAAACATCTTGTCCATCTAAGGCCGCCGAATAGCTCGCCCACCCCGTTACCGACGGATAGCCAGGAGGACTGACCACATCAGGAAGCGAAGGACCTGAAATCAAACACAGGTCGTGATTGTAACCGGCAGGGTATCGTTTGTCGTTGCTTGGGGCATCGTACGTGTGGGTTATAGTTCCGATCTAGTGGAGATAGAAGTATGATATAAGTGTAGAATTGACTTAGTGAACGTACCATTCTGTTAGACGATGCAAGCGATACTTGCTTACCAACCGGGTTATTGTCGGTCGGGATTTCCTTGGCCATGGCTAAGGCACAATCATCTTCTCCTGCTTTGAAAGGTAGACACCGTTGCAATGTCCGTTTCGCTTTATCGACTAACGTTTGAAGAACTCTCAGCCGATTTCCAAGTCTCCAGGGCACCGGGTTACGGACGAAACTATGAGTCACAGATGTGACTGCTGTAGAACCATTCTGCAACTTGAGCTTTAGTCCGAGGCATCCGGCGGAATCATTGATTCCTCGTTCCGAAGTTTCTTTTAGGACATTTCCGGACTCGAAAGGTGCTGTAGTGAAGCTGTAGTGGGTGAGATGGAAAAAGACACGAAGACCGGCAAGCTCGAGAGGCCACACCTCACTGTACGCATCATGTACGTGTCGTTTGTCTTCAAAAAGAATAATCAGGAAACCTGCGATAAGCACGTGGACACCGACCGCCTCTGGGAACAATTCTCGAAGGCTGTCGAGATCAGCTGGTGTGAGGAATCGCCTCGGGTTGATATATCGGTCAAAGTGCTGATTGTATTTGTCGGGCGATCGGGGGGTGAGAATTCCATCAGGTATATCTAAGAAATGATCTCCGGGGAAGTAGTGGATTGGTCGGCCGCCAGCATACACACTTTGGGATGCGGTGAGAGGAGACCCGACAAGCCAAACAGGCTCTCCGAACACGGACTCCGCGACATACACTCCCGCCTGTGAAGATAGACTTGGATGGTGGTCTCTGACAAACTGTTCATTTTCTTTGTTGATGTGAGTTACTGATTCCGCGCGAAACGCGTCTGCTGGTGAGCTATCTCCAGATGAGGAGACTGATAGAAGAAACTTGGTCAGCGCCGAAAAACTCGATCCCCGCAACAGGAGAGGGCCGACATACTATGTACAGATCGGATTGAAGTTCGCTCATTTGCAGCACCATCGGAAAGGATGTCTTGATCCGTGACTGGGATGGCAGGGTATGCGAACCCCGCTGTCTTGCGACGTTTGTAGCCCGAGCTCTGCATGTAGACGAATGATATCTGACTTAGTTGTGGATCGAAAACGTGGTCAACGTGTTCTGCAGCGGGATCAACCGGTCCCCACTCGATCTCGGGACCCACCGACCGCTCTGTCAGTTGGTGCCCTGGACCGGAAGAACTTGCGCACGGACACTTCGAGGATGGGCTTGAGGAAAATCACAAGAAGTCTGATGAATCTATTGAAAAACCTTGACTTCAACTGGCACGAAAGAAGAAAGATTGCTGGAAAGGAATGCTTGGAATTGTTTTTCAAATCTACGCACGGACCAGGGGGGACGGACGGCGGTCAAGAATCGCCCTTATGCCTTCCAGCTTTGCGTCATCATACTCGAGTGCGCTATTCCTGGGGATCTAGCGAAACTGGAAGATCGTGCACCCTCGGAAATAGGAGCACGGCGAAAATTGAGGGCCATCAAAAAGTAGACGCAAAGTAAGTAGTATTATAGGGCAAAGTGCTTCTTTGGGTATAGTCTGAGCGTAGACTGAGCGCTCAATAGATGCGCCCGAGCAGTCTCTAAGTAATCACTGAGTAATAACTGAGCATCCAATCAGACTCAGTGAGCACTCACTGAGCGTCCATTGGACCTCACTGATTTATCACGTGACTGGTCTGAGCAGCTCAGTGAGTCTGAGCCCGGACTGAAATTCACTCAGTGAGCCTGACTCTGAGCGCCCTCATAAAAGCGGCGGCAGCTAAGATAGGAAAGCCCCACCCGGCAGAGGAATCAAGTATGTCATAGCTACCTAGGTAGTTATATAGTTAGATATTTTCTCCCCCTTCTGAGTTTGTTACGTAAATAGTAGAAAAGGGCCAAAAAAAGGTTTAATTGTAAAATAGACTTTTCTATATATAACCTTTAAAATCAAGATATCATAGAAAGTGACACTATAGAACATTGAAGTGAATATGGTAGAAATTAATTACTAGAATTTGTACGAAGGAGGTAATAGTAAATTCGCGGTGTGGAAGGCGGCTATGCACTGCCTTACATCATTCGTTACTTGAAATATCTCCTAACGACGTGTTGAGCCGGCAAAATGCTTGAGCTATCTAGCGCGCATAGAATGCCACAACGAGACTAGAGTAGCTATAACTATGCATCAGTAAAAGTACCGCCAGAACTCAGTACGGCGCCCAGGGAAACTTACAGAGCAAGAAGCATCGCACCATGGATGTAAGCGTACTGCCCATCACGAAGTAGATGATTCACCACCAGAATGGCCAAAAACATGGCAACAGTCTGGAACGAATCAAAGAAAAGCGTCATCGGTTCAGCAATGCACCAGCCGATAATAACCAAGAATGGTATAACAAACAGACCAATTTGCAAGAGACTGTCGATAATAACTCGGATTGCAGAGTCTGTGTCTCCTGTGCGAGATGCCGCAATGACAGTGACCCCCTCGGTGCTATTGCTAGCAATTGGAATGAAAACCATTGCGATAAATACTTCAGAGACTCTGAGAGTCTGCGCCATGTCGTCGACGCTTTCAAGCAGGAGTTCTGTGCAAAAGACTGTTGCAGCCACGGCTGTTGTCAATCGGATAATTGAGGAAGCTAAGCTAGCCCTGCTGGCTGCGGATGATGAATCTCCGTTATTTTCATAGTCACTAGATTCGCTCTCATTCGAGACGAAGAGGTGTTTGTGAGTCCCGAGATAGAAGTAGAGGTAACCTCCGTAGAGCCCTAGGAGTACTAACGACGTCCCTCGTGAGAAGGATAGCACCCTGTCATCTATCTCGGATACTGGGAAAGTCGAGTAGAGGGCCGTTGGGAGGAGCATCGTTACGGCTGTTATCATCATCAAAGAGGACAAGGTCTTCGCAAGGGCACTGTTAAACTCTAAAACCTCCTTGTTGTACGAAGCTGTGACGAGGCAGCAGCCGAAGACCTAGATGTGGCTGTCAGTCGGATGATATGGCCACCACTGAAACTTTCATAATGTGAGAACTTACAAGCAGAATATCTGAGAGAATGCTTCCAACCATGACAGACTGCGCAAATGGGATCTCGTCATGAACCAGAGCCAGAATGCCTGCCTGGACTGAGTGAGCATTTTGTCATTTCGATAATCGGGGCAATAACTCTGACTCACTGTGAGCTCTACGGTATTTCCGAATGTGGCACTGAGTAGTGCACCTTGCAGCTCTCCAAGGTGGGCAGCGAGTTCATCGGACGAAATAGATATCGCCTCGGACAAGAAGATAATGGCGACAATATTCACCACGAGAACTATTGTCGAACTCCAATGAAATATCTTTGTAAGGCCGGCCAGAGGTAGCAGCACCATTACTGGCCACCCATGATTGATATTCAGTTTGTTTAGTCCTGTTTGAGATGGCATTTTGAAGGACCTCTGAATGCGAGTCCAAGGGTCTATGTCTGCATCTTGGGTTTGCTGTTGACGCTGGTGGCGACTGGGCTCTGGCCCACAGGACTCTGGCGTGTCTCGGCGAGACATGGTGAATCTGGAGAAACTTTGGCCTTCAGAGGTTAGAGTGTTGAAGCTTAAGTGAGATGCGACCCAAGGACCGGGGAAACTAAACAGTTGTGTTCCAAACGTTACCACGGTACAGATACGGGTACCAGTAACTTTCAGCCCTAATTAAAGTTACAGCCCTATTACTAGCGCCAAACAGAACTGTCTCACCTCCACTGGGGAATGGGGATAGGGCTGAGCCGGCATTTAGCCGCTTTATCCTTGCAATAAGTGTATACATACAGTACAGAGCTTTCAGGCAACAGCATTTTTTTATATTGGTTTCAGCCTTATGGGATGTCTGCAGAGTTGAGCTATAAATGTGACATGATAATATGTGGAATGACGATCGGCATATTAATTTACAATTATTACTCGGGGAACACAAGTCTCCGTTAACCCCTCTCTGCTCTGTTTTGTCATTAATCGGAGCATTAATTGGAGCGTTCGCGTTACCCCCACACCCAACCTTGGCAATGCGTTCGCGGCTCACAATTATTATCTTCCTTGAAAGAGTCGTATATCGGTCGCCCAGTCCTTTCATCACGATCAACCCATCTATTGGCGACCCCGAAGATTATCCGATACGGGTAAGTGACTAAGAACCCGCCTATCAGATCATCCACACAAACAAACAACAACCTACCCCGGAGCTGAATTATCCTTGCTGCCCTGCCTGTGATCTATGGACAAACGCCCTCCCTCCCTCGAGTCGCTCCAGAGGGAGGTCAGTGGACTCACAGCCATATATCATGGCCGAGGCTGGACGACCGAAGCAACAGACCTGGATTCAGCTATGACGACCGCGGGGAATCGGGTACTCGCCACACATGCGGATTCTGACGCAACGACGATAATGCTCGAAGAGCTAGCCGCATGTGTGAAGGCATGGCTGCAGGCCAAATCATGGATTGTTGCCGAAGATCTAGGCGCTCTGGTGCTGGGCTCATGCGAGAGTCTGAAGGGAGAGCAAGACTTAATGACTATGACAGCGATGCACAATCTCGCTTCCGCATATTGGGGCAGAGGGCAACTGGATCAGGCTGCTGCTCTCGCTTCCCGGGTCACCAATTTGAGGCAGAAGATTCTCGGCGAGGAGCATCCCCAGACGTTGACTTCGATGACGAATCTAGCGTCCACATATCGGAGTCAAGGGCTTTGGGGTAATGCTCAGAAGCTCGATTCGAGGGTTTTTGAGATGAAGAAGAAGACTCTCGGTCCCAGCCATCCATCCACCTTGGGCTCCATGTCTAACTTGGCTATATCGTATGCCCATCTCGGTCGGTATGAAGAGGCCGAATCAATTGCACGCCAACTGGTCAATCTCGGGGAAAGGGAATTATCCCCAACCGATGCTTCGCTGTTAAACTGGAAACTTACTCTGGCATCGACCTATCGAGACCAGGGGAGGCTAGACTCTGCTGAAAAGCTAGAAGGCGAGGTTGTCGCTGTTAGTCGGGACATACTTGGGACGAATAATCCATTCACATTGACTTCTATGGCCAACCTTGCGTCCACATATCGTGAACAAGGCCGATGGTCGGATGCTGAGCGCCTTGAAAAAGAAGTCGTGGCTAGCAGTGAGACAGTACTCGGCGAAACACACCCCCAAACTCTGATGTCCATCAGCAACCTTGCCTCAACATATCGCAATCAAGGTCGGCTCGAAGAAGCCAAAGACCTCGGGGGGAAAGCAACAAATGCGATGAAAGAGGTCCTCGGGGAACGTCATCCACACACACTGGTTGCCATGGCGGATCTTGCTGTGACATACCAAATGATGAGGCAGTCACCAGATGCCGAGATCCTGGCCGCCCGGTCTCTGCGTCTGATGGAAGAGACGATAGGCAAAGACCACCCGCACACACTCAGCGCCATGGCCAACCTGGGATTCATATACCAGTCGCAAAGCAAGTGGGAGGTCGCCGGTGGAATGGCCGAAACGGTGTATTCTCGCAGAGAAAAGGCATTTGGAACGGACCACCCAGATACCGTGGCGGCGCTGGAGGATTTGAGGAGAGTAGCGTGGGTAGAGGCGGCGGATCAGAATTCACAGCGTACGTTGAATTAGACTCTCTTGGAATGTTGAGAGGCGTTTTGGAATATCCCCAGTACCGTTAGTCTGTATCTAGCCAGTGTTCGCCAGTATTAGCCTTTTTTAATCAATTTTTCCGGGTTCACTGACCAATTGTCAAGTTTTGTTGGCGCCGAGTGCACCTCTTTTGAACCACTTGGGTCGATGAGGGTCAGTCAGCCTCGGGCATTGACATGATCTTTAGTCTTGCACAGCCTCCTTCCCAAGACTTGGGCCTATAAACATGTCCTCGTTTTATCTCTGGGTCTGCTTTGGGGGAGTACAATACACAGCATAGCCCTGTCAGAAACTTAGTTGCCTGCTCTGGAGTGGACTTCGGCTGTTAGTTAAGCTGCATATCTCGCACGGGCGTGCTCGTATGGCTAATTATGATAGGCACTTGTCGAACGTCGGCATGACTAGTCAGAAGAACTAAAAAGGAAGCCACATATCAATGACCGCCGAGTAACAATCTCCGATTGATGGTTGCCCTGTAACGTACAGAATAGCAATCGAAAGTACTAGTAGGTGGCGTGTTTTCCAGATATTGATCGATATATCTATATTTCTTGCAAAAGTATGCCGTGAATATCCGGTTTAACCAAAAATAAGCCCCTTTGAGTGAATCATATGGTTATAATACTGCTATTGTCTCACATTCGAATAAATAATAGACCTTGCTATGTACGTATTTTGCAAGTCCTAAGTTACGCTAAGCTGTATTTTACAGTTCCTTCCCTTTCTACGCGTATTTGTATTTCGCCAGAGCACATGTGGCACCTCCTTTCTGATTTTATCCATCTAATTCTCCTGATGACATTCTTCATGAAATGACGCCAAATTTGGGAGCCAATGGGTCTTGTATATCTTCTTTTTGGTCGCGAATAGTGAGTTCGATGATGGTGAGGCCTGAATATGTGTCTTACTGACGATACTCAGAAGAAACCCCGGTCAAAACGTGCTACGGAACAGTCCACCCAATGGACTTTCTCGACTTTTTCTCTTGATCCTGATGCGTTAGGCGATCTTGTACAATCCAAAGATGTCCAACAGTTTCATGCTCTCCATGGGGTAAAAGGTTTGGAGGAAGGACTGCGAACCGACATCCATTCCGGTCTGAGCCTGGATGAGACCTATCTGGGTGCTCCTGTGAATGTCGCTGCGAGTACGACCGCTGCCCCGACAGAAAAGACCGCTGTCCCTGAGCTGCCTATCTCGACAGACCTTGGTTACGATGCATTCATCGACAGAAGGAAATTCTTCGGGGACAATCGCCTACCCATAAGATCTTCCCCGAGCTTCCTGTCATTGATGTGGGCAGCCTACAACGACCATGTCCTATTTCTTCTAACCGGTGCTGCTATTATCTCGCTTGCTTTGGGGCTGTACCAGACATTCGGAACCAAGCGTACTCCTAACAACCCGCCCGTTGAATGGGTGGAGGGCGTTGCTATCCTCGTCGCTATCGTCGTCATTACTCTCGCCGGTGCCGCGAACGACTATCAAAAGGAATCCAAGTTCCGGAAACTCAATAAGAAACAGCAGGATCGCAATGTTTGGGTCCTTCGATCTGCGAGGATTCATGAGGTTCCCATCTCTGAGGTTGTCGTTGGTGATATCGTCAACATCAGCCCTGGAGATATCGTGCCTGCTGATGGCGTGTTGATAAGGGGTTATCAGGTCAAATGCGATGAGTCCTCGGCAACTGGCGAGTCCGATCCGGTGGATAAAACCGCTATTGATACAACTCGTCCTGATAGCTCTCCTGAGATCGACCCCTTCATACTCTCTCATACCAAGATCATGGAAGGCGTTGGTGCATACCTCGTATTGGCTACAGGCACTAAATCAAGCTACGGAAGAGTGCTCCTCTCTCTCGACACCGAGCCAGGGTTCACCCCGCTTCAAGTACGGCTCAGCAATCTTGCAAAGAACATCGCCCGCTTTGGTGCACTTGCGGCGCTTGCGCTGTTCGTAATCTTGTTCATCAAGTTCTGTGTCGGCCTCCGGAACAGCACCGAATCCGCCTCGGAAAAGGGACAATCTTTTTTGAATGTCTTCATTCTGGCCTTAACTGTGGTTGTGATCGCAGTCCCTGAAGGACTTCCCTTGGCAGTTACACTTGCGTTGTCATTTGCCACCACTCGAATGATGAGAGACAATAACTTGGTTCGACAGCTCCGAGCATGTGAAACGATGGGACAAGCCACGGATATTTGTTCAGACAAGACGGGAACGTTGACACAGAATGAAATGACTGTTGTCTCGGGTTTCTTCGGTGCTACCTCGCAATTTACCGATCGAGCTACTAGCCCAGACACTTCGGCTGAAAGGAATTCCTCATCTGTTACAAAATGCATGAGCCGGCTCTCGGGTCAATCGAGGTCGCTTTTGAGGCAATCTATCGCCATCAACTCGACTGCAACTGAAAGCCAATATGGTGGAGGTCGGCAGTTTCTTGGGTCCCAAACGGAGGCCGCCTTATTGAGATTCTCCCAGGACTATCTCGAGCTAGGTCAGCTTGACTTTGATCGTGCTAGTGTAGAAGTTGTTGATCTTTTGCCTTTCGATGCCTCGCGCAAATACATGATCACAGTTGTCAGACTAGCCAGCGGGTTATATCGATCATATGTGAAGGGTGCTCCTGAGATTCTCCTTGGGAAATGTGTGGCCACAATTGCACAGCCGATGCAAGGGCTTGGTACTGCTTCAATCACGGAGGATGGTATTGAACAAATACGCCACAAAATTGTTCAGTATGCCTCGCGATCCTTGCGCACGATTGCGATATGCTTCCGCGATGTGAAGGATTTACCCTACAGGGGCGAGGAGAAAACTGTCGACTTCGAGGAGTTAATAAAAGAGCTTACATTTCAAGGGATTATGGGTCTACAAGACCCTCTACGGG